GTTAAAATATATAAAGCTCCCTGAATGATGTCATCTTGGGAGTTTAAAAGGTCAACGTTTTCGTCTTCTCCTGCCATTATCTTCTATTTAAAAATTAAATAGGAAGATGTAGTGTTTTAGGTAGTAAAAACAAATCAGAAAAGTTTCCTTTTTCTGATATAATTACGCTTATTTAGTGTTCTAGCAATTAAACGTGTATTATCTTTTCAGCAAATGAGTAAACTTTATCAACTCTGTGAATATCTGGACTGTATCTTTGAAAAGTTTCAAATTTTTCATTTTGCATCTCTGTTTGAGGAATTATCAGTGAATGAAAAATGTCTTGGTAAATGCCTTTCTTGCATAAATACCTTAATCACTTTTTAAATGCAAGATAACAGTAATAATTCAGCTTGAAGAACGTTTATTAACTCAAAAATGCATCTGACAGGAATAAACACGTGTAATTTCACCTAAAATATCATAAAAACGAAGTGAAACTGTGATTTCAAGTTTCTAACAGGAGGCGGCAGCATAACCTTTTTTTATTTTAACCCAGACACTGTTAGTGATGACCAGTAGGAGTCGCGATGACTTCCTGTGGCTTTGGTGACATCCGGTCGTTAGCCGTTAGCTTAAAATTAGCATAGGCTAAACTCGGTTAAATCAACATTTCTGAACGGATTTAAAGCTTAAACGTGGCAAAGTTTCAGCGATTAGGCTTCAAAGAAACGCAGCAACAGATCAGAACCAACTTTAAAGCGTTTTTCAACTTTATACAGCAGATTGAAATTCCCTATGAAGACGAGCTTCATTTCTGGGTCACGTGACTGAATCTACCAATGACAGAACAGCAACGGGGGTGGGTTTTACGACCTGACACGTCTCTCAGCGAATCAGAGCATTTCAAACAACTGTTTTCGACCAATCGCCGCTCGCTATTTCAGCTAGCGTGTTAGCATTTAGCTTGAACATTCCGGTCAACTTTTCATCATGAAAACTTTCAAAATGTACTATTTTCTGTTAAAAATGTAACTTATCAACTCTCAAAGCTTCACTGGGACTTCGCCCGTTCAAAACAACAGTTTCTTTCTTCAAACACGACTCATTCGAACCAAATCAGAACCGAGCCGGACCAGAACCAACGTCTGGATCACAGTTTAAACAGAATAAAGCGTTTTAACACAAACCCAGCTTCAGTTATACAACAGATGTACAAATTCAGCTTTCAAATGACTCTTTATGCCAACATGATAATTCAATTGTTACACGAATAACAGTCCATTCATGAACCGTACGAGGCCACCAGATGTAGAGCAACATATATCTGTGATATATTATCCATAAATTAAACGGATTCATTCATTTTTCTGGACTGAATAATATTGTGCATTGAATAATTAAAATGTAACGTGAGACGTTAATTTTCTTTGACCCATCAAATGAATGCGGTCATTTATTAACATAATCAAAATTCAACATCAAACATTTACATTAATTTGGCAAATTGATTTCAACAACAACAACATAATTAATTAGCAAGCTTTACGATTAGGAAACCATACGGCCATGATTTCCCTCACTTCAAGCATTACAACAGACATTTCTGAAAATATCTGGATTAATTTCTAGCAGGATAGAAGAGTTTTAAAGATGGAAAATGAAGTTTATCTTGAGAGAGATGGGTGAGGGAATTTGTCTGTTATAACCAGAACAACATGCTCCTTCTGGACCCAGCTTAACCAACGGTACACTTTGCGGTTGAAAATCGACTCTTTTACCTTGGCAGAGGATAATTCCGACTTCGGTGTAGAGTTGCCTTCAAACGCTCTCCAGCGTCTCCGTAAGGATAGTAAGGAACCGTTCGGAGTCGTGAGATCATCCCAGAACAGACATTTCATAGTTCCTCTGAACTTCTCTCGTTCAGCTTAGTTGCTTTTTCTCCAGCATTCTGAATTCCAGCATTCTGAACTCTGCTGCTCTCGGAACTAACTCACAGCATTCTCTCCGCGTTCTTCTCCGTTCTTCTCCGTTCTTCTCCGTTCTTCTCCCTGAACTAGGAAGTGTCAAACCTTTTAAAGAGGTCACTTCCGGTTCATTTGAGAACTTCCTGATTGGTCGATTGACCAAACAGGGGTGTGTTTTAGTGATGTAAGAGGTTATTAAAAGTCAAGGGAAAAAGGTTAGATTGTTTAAGAACAGACAGAAAATGTTTTTGAAGGACCCAGACTTCCTGGAGTCAATTCTCTAATATCTTCCTGTAAAAGTTAAACATGACATTTCTTTCCAGTAAACTTACAGTTGACCGAAACTTGACCTTTGACCAACATCACAACTTGCTCATTTCAGACAGAAGATCAAGAAGATGAATCATTACTCTGTAACACATTCTAACTTGATTTCTACTTTGAATGAGGATTAAAAATCACTAATACTGTTTCACAGCGGATTTAAAATGAGTAGCTCACTTCAACATTTGAAAATGGTTTGAACTAAACACACTTTGATTATCAAAACATTTGTAAAATAGTAATGATAATAGAAAAGAGAGTGTTCTTTCAATTGATCAGTGCAGGACACTTAAAAAGTCTCTGGATGAACTTAATCTTGTGTTTCTGGACTCAAATCAATGAAATACAGTTCTTGTCCCAGGAAGGCCCTCAAGGCCAGACTTGACCTGAGGCTTAGTTCACTACATATGTATCTACCTTACCATCATAATTAATCTCAATGTTCCTCACTACCTGTGCAACAACCTCACACAACCTGTGTAGTTTATGTTAGTTATGTGCAGTATACATCATGTGAATTTAAGCTTACTACCTTGAAATACTTATTCATACAAATTCATCCTACGTGCACTGTTATATTCTACCATGTTGTTGTTTACTATTTTTTCTTTAGGAACTTGTAAATATTGTATTTACTTTTTCACTTCTTGGTACTTTATTTTATATCCTTATTGAATGTTTTAGTATTTATTGTTTGTTATTTGTTTTAGTGAGTCAAATCAGTTCTTCTCATCCTGAATATTTTATTGTACTGTTAACCTTGTGTTAACCTGCATATGACAAATAAACATAACCTGAATTAAACATTAACCTTTAATTTAACCATTAAGCATATGATGTAATTATGACAGAAAATGGAGGATTTACCTGCAGTTACTTTCGTAGAGATGAACATGTGGAAGCTACTTCCTGTTTATAACGTGATCAGCTGATGGGGTCAGTCCCCGGCTTTTTACGTTTTCCAAACTCTGTTTAATTTTTGAAAATGAATAAACTGTATCCCACCCTCTAAACGCTCAGGGTAACGCGTGTCTGGATTGCCTGTTTTCCACTGACACCGTTTAATCATTTTTCTGGTGATTTTTCACAAAACTCTGACTGTAAAGCATCCAGGCTATAGCCTCAGATCTTCACGTAAGGGGCGTTTACCTTCGGGACAAATTGAGGTTATCGATTGGTAATTTGCTGACACACCTACTGGATTGATTGACAGGTCGCGCAGTGGAGCCAACTTGTGGAAAAAAGAAAAAAAAACGAGCAGCAGGCCCTGCGGTGGAGGCAGGGCGGCCCAGGAGCAGCAGTAGCATGTTCTGTGTTTATATGTTGTTAATAAGAAGTAATAAAATATATATAAAAAAAAAAAAAAAAAAACAACAGGGAGCCCACAAATCAGACCGGCCCACCAGGAAATCTCCAGACTCTCCCGATAGGGCACTCCGGGCCTGGGGCTCAGCACGCAGCACTGGGGCGAGCCAGTGCTGAGGGTGATGGAGGAGGAAACAGTTATGTGGACCCTGACAACCTGAGATCTGTTGGTCAGGAAGTCCAGAATCCAGTTCCCCAGTGTGGGACTCAGTCCAAGAAAGGAGAGCTTCTGCACCAGGGTCTGTGGGATGATGGTGTTGAAGGTCGATGAGAAAACCAGAAAAAGCAGACGGATGTAAGAATTTCTCCTCTACTGGTGGGTGAGGGCTGTGTGGATCACTGATGAGATGGCATCATCAGTGGAGCGGTTCCTTCTGTAGGCATATTGATGTGGGTCCACAGTGATGTCGATGGAGTCCTTGATCTGGGTCAAGACCAGTCTCTCGAAGCACTTCATGATTACCAATGTTAAGGCTATAGGTCAGTAGTTATTTAGGCTTGTCACTGTGGAGCACTTGGGTACAGAGGACCAGATTTGAACTTTTTTGGATTTTTCTACCTGGATTATTGAGCATGCATCAGGATAGTCTACCAGAATGTTTTAGAGGACTTCATGATTCCTTCTGCTGAGGATCTGTATGGAGATGCAGATTTCATCTTCCAGCAGGACCTGGCCCCTGCCCATGCCACCAGAAGCATCAAAACCTGGTTTAAATGCCCATGCCACAGTGCTTGACTGGACAGCCAACTCACCAGACATAAACCCCATTGAGCAGTGATAGCAGGATAGACAGAGATTGTTTTTTCATTCAAAAATGTATTCTCAGATGCTGGAAAACAACCGGCTTCTGGAAGCGGATCATTTTCAGCGCAATTACATGCAGAAGAAGCGTGCGCTGTTTCGCATGAACGAACATGCCCACAAAGTTCTGCCCAATCACAGAATGAGCTGCCCATTGCCTGCAAGAAACATTTCTAACTGAAGGAAAAGCACAAGGCAGGGTGTATATAGCCGGTACGTCTGTGGGATGTCAGCAGGTGATAAAAGACGAAAGCAATACAGTTTTCATCACACACCTGCAAAAGTGAGATGAAAGACTAGAGGTATAAACCAGCATTTAAAAAGAAAAACAGATCATGTAATATCTCCAAACAAATATTGAGAAAATTTGCACATACCATTATTTTCAAGATTTGACCAAAATTGCTACGTCAGATTTTCTCAACATAAAATGAGTATAAAAGTGGCATGAAAGGTGGTCGGCAAGTAGTCCTTTAGAGAAGGCTAGGCATTGTGTTTTATAAAATATTTTAATACCTTTTCCTGTTGGTTGACACTGACATCTAGCTCTGTTGTGTCTGCAGGCATCTCTGTGGTCTCTGCTCATCACCCTTGTTATGCTCTTCATCCTGACTGGAGTGATGTTGGGACCAGATCTGCTCTCAACCATCCCAGCCTCTGTCTACATGGTGGCTGTCCTGATGCCGCTGTGTGGCTACGCTGCAGGTTATGGCCTGGCTGTGCTGTTTCACCTGCCCCCCAACTGCCGCAGGGCAGTCTCCCTGGAGACAGGGTGCCAAAACGTGCAGCTGTGTACCACCATCTTGAAGCTGGCCTTCCCCCCTCATCTCATGGGTGGGATGTACATGTTCCCCCTGCTGTATGCTCTGTTCCAAGCAGCCGAGGCCGGCCTTTTCATCCTGGGCTACAGGATGTATAGGAAGGAGGTGTTGCACAAACCAGACTCGATAATAGATGGCAAGGACATTGTATATCAGAGGTTTCACAATGAGGACTTTGATTCATCTTACGGTGCAGTTACAGTGAGTGACCCAAACACCATCATGCTGGACCCCTGTCCTCCTGATCCCACATCTGTTTGATGTGCAGATGTTGGAACAGAAGCTCTGTGGTTCCCAAATGTTTTCACTTTCTACCCACAAAATAAAAGCTGCAGACTCATGACCCTAGCTGTTGCTGATTGAAATATTGAAACACTGTTAATATGCCATTTAACAAAGAGCCACTTCAGCTAGCTTTGTCTTGTTTTTATACATTTGTGACCACTGGTTGCTCTCTCTGTAACCATGGAAGCTAAATATGCAGCTAGAATTTTTGTCAAAAGGCAGGTGATAAAAGTTTTTTTTGCCCGTATCTGTGTGTGTGTGTGTGTTTGTCATGTAAGCAAAATATCTGAACAACTGGTCAGATTGTAATGAAACCCTCAGAATGTTGTTTTCTTATGGCTGTTCCCATCTTTAGGGATCACCCCTATGAGCAAACTTGCACAATTTGGCCAATGTTTTATGCCAGATGCCCCTCTGGACACAACCTGGGCTTGAACCCACAGCCTCAAAATTTCACAACCACAACACTGACCATCAAACAGAAGGCCCTAATAAGACTCTAAGAAAGTAATTTTTGGAGTCAATCTTATTCACACTGGCTGCAATAGCCAACTGACCTTAGCAAATACAAAAGTGGCTTCAAGTCAAAGAGGAAATTAAAAACTGATTACCTCTTGGGGTCATTTTGTTTCAAGATGGCTGCCACAGATACCTTAAGAAACACAAAATTAGCCAATACACAATCATTTATATAAATACTGAGCTAAAATTTAGTGATTGATTGTCCTATTCCTAAGATTCCTAAGACATATTGTCACTGCAAAAAAAAAAAAAAAAATCCTTAAAAAAACTCTGCTTAACACTTTTGCATATAATGTCTGTTAGCAATACTGTATATCACATGAACCACTGAATCTTTTTTTATTGAAACTTAGAAAGTAATGATTTCATGCCTGATTGACAAATGATTAACAATAACTTAAAAAACACAAAAGTGGCTAAAACTATGTAATTTCAATAGATATTCAGCTAAAATCTGGTGTGATGGTAGCTCTCAGTGTTCCCTAAGACCAAATGGTGAGGGCTAAGATATCCTTCAGTTTATCTGTTTGAAAATTGAATGCATGTATACAGCTGATTAAGTTTTGAAGTCATTATGATTTAAGATGAGAATTTAGTTTTATGCATTAGGTGGCATCTTCACAATTTCTGCAGAAAATTTTCTAGTATGATTTATTGTGTTCTGTAATTGTGTTTAAAAAAGGGTATATGAAATCTGTTTAACAAACATATCAGAGAATTCTAGACAATGTGCCAAAACAAACTGTACATCTGTCTAAAAATTAAAATATACAGAAAATAAATTTCTGCATTTTCTTCTTGCTCTTCAGAGTTTATCTGGTATCCTTTCAGTTGCATTAGCTTCTGGTTTACTCATTTGTCCCTGTCCCTATTGCTTCAAGGTCTTTTTATTGTTTTTTAAATTAGTCCAGATACAAATATTTTTTCCGTTCATTTATCATGTTCACATGAGCTATCAGATCTTCACAATCCTTTGTCCCGTTTGTCATATGAATAACATCCTCCTCATCTCTTTTTCACATTTTCTGCAGAAATAAGTGTTGTACAATTTTATTTTACTTGATTATTATTTAGCTTTCCTTTTACAAAAATGCACTGTTTTGTTTTACTTTTTTTTTTTTTTTACCTGTGGGTTTTTCAGTTTCTTGCGAGTTGGACTTTATTTTGAATCTACCTCTTGTTTCATTATTTCATTGTACATGCCCTCCGTTTACCATCTAACTTCCCAATTATTACTCCTGTCCAAACTAGCTAACACTAAATGGGGTGCAGATCCTAAAACCTTGAGAACTGCTGCTTTAGCTTTGTGCTACTCCACAGCTGAATACTGTGCTCCCATTTGGTGCAGATCCACTCAAGCTAAAAAGATAGATCCCAAGCACAATGCCTGCTGCATCATAACAGGAACCCTTTGCCCTACTCTAACAGACTACCTATACAGGATCTCTGGCATTGTTCCACCAGCAAAACGGAGACAATCAATAAAATTGCAAAAAGGAAAGAGGAAAATGACCCTCTTCATCCACTATATGGACTGCACTTATACAGTATAGCGCGTTTGTATCTCATCAAGACACTCAAAGTGCTTTACATTAATTCAATTCAATTTCAATTTCAATTCAGTTTATTTATATAGCGCCAAATCACAACAAAGTTGTCTCAGGGCACTTTACAGAAACATTCACATACATAAAAGCCAATTAGTAAAGTTCTCTATCTAAGGAATCCAGCAGACAAGTTGAATCTTGGCTTCGTTGCAGTCTCCCATCCTGAGCAAGCAAAGTGGCAACAGTGGAAAAAAAACTCCCTTTTAACAGGAAGAAACCTCCAGCAGAACCAGGCTCAGGACAAGCGGCCATCTGCTTTGACCGGCTGGTTGAGAGGACAGGAAGGAGAGACAGATGAACACAGAATGGTAGGTCTAGGTATAGGTCCAGATGTATCTGAAAGACAAAAAAAACACATGTTAAGGATAGAAAAAATAATTACAAATACAAAACAGGTTGAGCAGAGTAAGTAAAGACAGTAGCAGAGAGAAAATTGTGGTCAGTTTGTCCTCCAGCAGTCTGAGCCTATAGCAGCATAACTAAGGGACAGCTCAGGAAACCCAAGCCGACCCTAACTATAGGATTTAACAAAAAGGAAAGTCTTAAGCCTAGTTTTAAAACTGGATAATGTGTCAGCCTCACGGACAGAGATTGGAAGTTGGTTCCACAAGAGAGGAGCCTGATAACAGAAAGATCTGCCTCCCATTCTGTTTTTGTAAATTCTAGGAACCACAAGTAAACCTGCAGTCTGAGAGTGAAGTGCTCTGTTAGGAAAATATGGAAGAATAAGATCTGTAATATAAGATGGAGCTAGGTTGTTGAGAGCTTTGTAGGTTAGAAGTAAGATTTTGAATTCTATTCTGGATTTGACAGGGAGCCAATGGAGAGAAACTAAAACTGGAGAAATTTGATCTCTCCTACTAACTCCGGTTAAGACTCTGGCAGCAGCATTTTGGATCAACTGAAGACGTTTTAAAGAAATATTTGGACATCCAGATAATAAAGCATTGCAATAGTCCAGTCTAGACGTGACAAATGCATGTACCAGTTTTTCTGCATCATTTTTAGATAAGATGTTTCTAATTTTAGTGATATTACGCAGGTGGAAGAAGGCAGTTCTAGTAACGTTTCTAATGTGGGGGATAAAAGACATGTCCTGATCAAAAATAACACCAAGATTTTTAACATTAGAGCTGGAGGACAGATTAATGCCATCTAAGGAGGGAGAAAGACTGAAAAATTCATTCCTAAGGTGCTCAGGTCCAAAAACCAAAACCTCAGTTTTGTTTGTGTTCAACAGGAGAAAATTAAGGGTCATCCAGGTTTTTATGTCGTTAAGACATGCTTGTAGTCTAAGTAGCTGATTGGATTCATTGGGTTTAATGGACAAATATAATTGTGTGTCATCAGCATAACAATGGAAATTTATCCCATGCTGTTTAATTACAATTTAATTTACAGTTTAATTACAAAAAAACATTACAATCTGTGCCCTCATTTACCCATTCATACAGCACTCTACTATATATAGATGTAGTGTGCTAAGGGCTAGGTTAGCTGCCCTTGACTACAATATATTTAAATAACGGGTTCTCTCTTTTTCGAGCTAAATTACCACCATGTGACTGAGGTAACTGTGCGTAGATTGTTTAATCAGTGACACTGAGACGTTAATTTTCTTTGACCCATCAGAATAAATGTGGTCATTTATTTAACAGAATCAAAATTTAACATCAAAATGTACAAGTGATTAGCTGATCTGGTTCTGATTAATAAAACTTGGCACGTTTTACTTAATAAAAACAACAGACATTTCTGAAGGCATCTAGATTAATTACTGGCAAAATAGAAGAGTTTAAAGATGGGAAATGAAGGAGTTTAAATGGAGAGAAAAGATGGATGAGGGAAAGTGTGTTGACTAGGAATGGCACCCTTCATCCGACCCCAGCTCAGCCCCGGTACACTCGGTGCGTGGCGACTCGTTACCTTTGCAGAAGATAGGTCAGCTCCGGTACAGAGATCCATTCCAACGCTACCTTTCAGCGTCTCCAGTCAGGATGGCTGAGAATCGTCCGAAGTAGTGAAGGTACTCCGTACCACGGTCAAATCCATCAGCTATGGATTAAATCTGAAAGTTCCTTAAGAACGCTCAGGAAGACTTCAGTCAGAGATTCCACTCAGAAGTGGAGGACTCATGAAAGACTGAAGAAGACCGCAGGAAGACTCCTGTCAAAGATTCAAGAAGACTGAAGACTGACTGAGAAGTTCCAGGAAGTGTGGACTCTTAAAGAGTTCTCACTTCCGGTCACTTAAGGACTTCCTGATTGGTTGAAACAACCAACAGGGGGTGGTTCTAGTGACGTCAGAGGGTCATTACAAGTCAAGAAAAAAGCAGGAATGTTTTAGAAACGTCCCGTACTGACAGAAGACATGCTATGGCGAAGTGGGAGGAAGCAGATGCCAGTAGCTTCTTATTTACCGTCTGCTAGGTTTAAAAACAATCCACTTCGTTCTAATAACTTCTTTCTGACTTTCGACCGACATCACTACTTCTCATTTCAGACAGAAGATCAAAATGCATAATTACTTTGTAAATAGACATTTAACTTGATTTCTAATTTAAATGGGGATTTAAAAAAATCATTAATACTGTTTCACAGTTGATTTAAAATTAGTGGTTCACTTCAACATTTAGAAATGGTATGAACTAAACACAGTTTTGATTTATCAAGATATTGTAAAATAGTAATGATAATATAAAAGAAGAGTGTTCTTTCAATTGATTACTTCAGGATACAATTAGACAGTCTCTGGATGAGCTCATTTGTATTTCTGGATTCAAATAAATGAAATAACAGTTCCTGTCCCATGAAGGTCCTCAGAGGCAGGTTTTGGTCGGAGGCCGAGTTCACTACATAT